CGATAACTAATGTCCTGCAGTTCTGTGTGCCCGCATGCTCGAGCGAATGCTTGCATCACAAGAATGTCCCACCAACCCACAGGTCAATTATGGGAGGCCTGTGGACATACTCGGTCGATCGAACCCGAAATGATGTCCATTTTTTGCGTGAACATACACTTTTTTCCCGAGCCGACAGGTTTTTATTGAGGAACATCTGGCTTGTGCGTATTCAGTCGCACACAAACAAACATGGCACTGGCTACACGCCTCAAGCCACTTTCATCGTCTACTGCATGCGGAGAAGGGGAGATGGTCTCGCAGAGCTTGTCCTTCCACAGTCCCGGTGACTAAACAGGAATGGAGTGCGCCTCAAACTCGCCTGACTGTCCACTTGACGAAGACAGTTAACGAATTTCTCACAAACTAGGTTGATAGCATTCGTCCATAGTTATGGAACCACGGGAAAAATCGCCTTGATCGCCCGCCTCCTCCTTTCTACAAGGGTCCAGCAGACTATACCGACATAAAAATTTCCTCGCGTGGCGCCAACGGCATCATTTTATCAGAAGTATTGGTGAAGTATTAGCGCGTCATTCAGCTGCTGCTTTCAAGAGTTCTCACGTAAATGCAGCGCCTTGCCTATCAGAGGGTAACAGTATATGTAGATAAAGTTCTTTGACCGCATGAAATAGGAATTACTTCATGTACTGTTAAACATAAGGTAGTCTTCAGATCACCCTCGTTAGCTGACATCCCGCGAATCTGTGAAAGACTCTTTCTCCTCCTACTCCCCCCTTCCCACTCTTTAACCAGCCATCCTTTCTGCGCTTCCACGCGCGCCTTTCAAAGTCCTCGCTCAGAGTAGCAACGACACAGAGCCAGAATGCGCATTTGTCATATAAAATGCGCGACAGTAGCGGGCTTCCGAGGTCTAAAGTCAGCAAGAAAGAGTAGAGGGGAGGGGGGGTTAGCTGTTCTAAGGGCAGGCTGCAGAAACGGCTGACTTTGTTCAGAATCAGGACCTCGAACCATGCCTTCCTATAAGGTTGTAGTTGCTGGGACTTCGCCAGGAGCTCATGTCGCGACAAAACCAATTATTCAGTGCGTACTACGGTGTAGTGAATGATCGTAATCATCTTGGGACACGCTGTGGACTCGTCCAGGCGATGGCCTGTGAGGCCTGGCTCGTGAACACGCGGGTCGGGTGCTCGAGCAGTACCCGTCTTTATCCCCCAGCGACGACAGTTCGACCCTCGTGTCCGACGATGTTCACCTTGTGCTCAACAGCAAGCCGAGAGCAAACACGGTGACTCGCGCGAGAATTAGCCTACAGTGAGAACAGACTGTTAAAGTATATGCCGCACTCTCCCATCCTCCTCCACCTGGCCCGGCACTAAGACACAGTCAAGAAGATCGGAGGCGGGAGGGGACGCAGATGGCTGGCACGGCCGAACCCGCACATAGACGTACCACCGCACTTCCTGGTCTACGGCAAACCCCTGACCAGAGTTTAAACCAAAAACAAAGACGGGTCTGAAAGAGGAGGACGACTGGGCAGCCATGCTTACGACCTGTATACCCAGTGGGAGCGCAAGCGCATCTAACGACAGTAAACCAGGGGCCATAGAACTTCCAGCGCTCACCAGGCAGCGACGGTCGTGGTTTACTGATCTTAGCATAGAAGACGCTTACAATACTTGAGACCATAAGGGTGACATACAGACTTGCATTAATGTGGGCCATCACCCTTCAAAGGCTGGGTAACCAATCAGTTATCGACTGAGAGGCACTAGTCATAAAGTACACACACGCTCCTTGCATGCGAGAGAGTGCCAGAGGTCACGTGAAGAAGGAGCCGTGACAACCTGACTCTCAGCCATCCAGTGCGTCACCCCAAAAAATACACCACTGGGATGACTGCGTGAATTGAGTTGAAGAGTCAGTCTATAGCTTTCCAAGCCACGGCGCTTGGCTCAGCTTAGTATTCCCAGAATCGGATCACACATGCAGCAAAGGAGCTGTATGGAGAAGGAGCTAGGAATCACACTCCCCAATTGCATTGGAGGTGGCAGTCGAGTGCTTGAGACGACTGATGTGGTTGTTTGATGCAGGTGCTGGTGGGGAAAATGGGTGGTATGGTGTCGCCGATGGTTGTCTACCATAGGGTTTCCTGGATGCGAATGTGCCCTAACAGGCTCATGTGGTGATTGAGTGTGCGGGGGCAATGGGGACAGTTGGGGCGGATGGCACCTGGTGTATGCTGGTGCTCTGGGCACTGATTCACCAGTGTCTGTAAGATTGATTCGCAAGGGACCGACCCGGCCGATGAGCGAGAGGAACCTATGGGGACAGTGTGGGCAGGGAGTTTTCCAGTCGGTTTCGGTTAGGGTGGTGGTGGGCACACTGGGCGAGGGGGTATGGGTCAGGCTATGAGTGGTGGATATACAGGATGTTCTAGGTGTGTTGAGACGGCGGTGATATCCGCTTTCGTGGATACGAATGTGACCTAGTAGACCCATGAGGTTGGTGAATGTGAGGAGTCAGTGTGAACAGCTGAGGCGGACGCGGCTAGTGTATGCGGGTGTTCCATGCACTGGTTCGTCAGTCTCTGATTAACAGATTCGCAAGTGACCGACCAGGCCGATGTGTGAGGTGAATGTGTGATTGCAATAAGGACAGGTATGGACCGAGTCCA